CCCCAAACGCTCACAGTCATATATTAGTATGTAGAGCAACAGAGAAGGTCAAAGACAAGTTCAGATTTCAGAACCAATGTTTTTCGAAAATTTCTACACAGAAATATGGGATAGCTAAGACATAAGGAACTAAGACAAAACTTACCTTTACCATGGCTTGTTAAGAATGCTTCATCCAAACTTAGTTTGAACCAGAACTAGCAGCACATATGGATTGCCCATTACCCTCGGTCAAAGAACAATCACGACCCATCTCTGATATCTGCTGGTCAGCATGCCGAGCTGGTAAACTGCCTTCAGATCTGTTTGACTCGGTAGAACTATTTCTGCTACCCTCAGTAGTTTCCGAATGTTCCACCACATGTGGTATGACAGCAGTCCCAGTACTAACCTCATGCCGAGCTTCAGCACCGTGGTCTGATGTTGAACTGTTGCGGGAGAAAAATCTCTCCTTCCAACCTCTTGTGCTCTTAGTAATAGACTCTTTATACCTTAATTGCAAAGGAAACAATCAAACAAACAAGAACGGGGTCCACATTGGTAAATGAGATATCAAAAGATTCATACAGAACTATATATAATGTATCTTACTACCTCAACGACATTGCAGAAAATCGAGATTTAATTGATTCTGAAAGAGACAGAAGATCCGACGGTCCAGCTCTCTCTTGATTATCAGGAGAAGACTGTGAAGGAGACCTTCTACAATACGAGCCATTCAGAATAGGCAAAAAAACACAACTCATTGAATACAAATAATTTACTAAGCTGGGAGCCATAAATTAAAATAAAATAAAAATGCAGTTGTAAAGCCAAACTTGAGAATGATAATCACCTATTGTTTGAAGAAGTTCCAAGATGATTAATAACAGCACTTGATCCTGATCCAGATGCAGAAACCTGATCAGCTTGAACAGGAGGCGTAGTAAATAGCTGTGTAGAACCTTCTCCAACTGAAACAATTGGAGAACTCGAAGCAGAAACCGATGCGGGAGAAGCGGATTCACCACCAGTCATCAGAGCTGGAGAGGAAGCGGGGCCAGCAGGCGTTGAATTTGGGTGAGTGGAGAATACCAGAAACTGTGGACGACCTTGAGCTGAAGACCTCCCCCTCTGACCGTCCCTCCTGGCAAGGTGGCGGGCCCTTCCCATAGCAGCAGCGGCAGCTAGGTGCTGAATAATACGTTCTTCTAGTTCTGAATCAGTTGCACTCACTGGTAACTGTAAAAATTAAAAATATGAATTATAATAAAAAGGAATAAGAAGAAAAGAAATGATATCTTCTGTCTCCAACTGATGGTAAACACCACCGAGAAGTTGTGAAGTCATGGACAGTGGAGAATGCTAACATGCTGTAATTCAAAATCTCCCAAAGTTGGATGGTGAAAGATAGTGGTATTTCGAGGAGGATTCATCCTGATATTTCTCTCGTGCTCAACTGCATCCAGCAATTCTTGGCTGCAAATACAAGAACAATGGTCACTTCTTCGGAAACAAGACTATACAAGATATAAATGAGCGAGAGATGTAACATATAAGGAAGCAACCTGTTGGGATCTTTTAAGGAGAGGGCCTGCCAACACATGGGGCATTGAGAACTTCTCTGACACCTGCGAAACATAAAGCATCATGCACAATGTTATTGACACCAGCTAAAGTTATATCCATGCTTCTGGGTCTCACTAGTAGGAAACCAAAATATAATCAGGTGGAACACACCGACAACTAATATTTTATGAAATAATGAACTGTTAAAAAGCCTTCTTCCACATCTCAAAATTAATAGTTCTCTTACCTGCTAACTAATTTTTTGATAGATTAAGATTCCTAATACCTGCTTCTAAATAAACCTTAAATGTCAATTTAAATGCATTAGATCTCTACATGCTTTCAACTTTCTACATATAGTATAGTCTATAATTTCAATTGTTTGATAGAAACAGATGTATATTCGTGACTGCCATTGAAAATGTACTCTAGGAACACATTAATAGGAGCATATGCATATGAATACATAAAGAAAGCTGGTAGGCAAATTAAACAAGATCTGCACGTACTATACCCATCAAACATACTCCTGTAGCAAAAGCACTACCTTAAAGTTGCATGAATATAGAGAAGGACACAGTCATCATTATCGTTGACATTCGGTACACTTCTTTCCGCCGTTTTTTGACAGGTTTTAGTGGACACACTTCTCTATAAGGTAGAAGGTTTATTTTCTGGAGTAGCTTTAACCGACTTATGAAGCGATAAGCTCTTCCTATTTAGAGGTTTCCTATCTTTCATATCTTCCATTTTAGCAATTCAAGACCTGCTTTCCTCCTCCTTTGTACTCTTGATCAATATTAAGAAACTCTTTTCCTCATTACAAGAAAAACCTCTGTTGGAGATTATCATAGATATGATTAGGTGATTTAACAGATTTGGAAATAACTAGGGTTGATTTGAGAGCTAAAACTTCAAATCTACTCCGTTCATAGATATTATTGACAAGGTGTGATATTACTTTCTTTGTTTGCCTGCAAACTAGTTTATAATAAGGAGTAAAGGCCTTCGTACCCATATAAGAGCCCATGCATCTATACTAGTGTCTTACCCCAAAAGTTAGCACATACCAGCAACAATACAACTTTCATCCACATCCAAACACTCTAATGTACCGACATTCACTCACCTTGAAATCACCTCATTGTTTAGGACTGAAACGGAGAGGAAATAGCATGGTTGAAAAACTGCCTCGCCTTCTTTCTAGGTCTCCTTTTCTAAAGCAAATGTTATGAAGCTAAGGAGAGGTGAAATCATGATAAACCATGGAAGGAAGACACTGGTATCATATATCCTCTAGAAAAATGTCATTATGCAGCAAGTCAACAAAAGCATGTTAAATGTCATTATGCAGCACGTCAACAAAAGCATGTTGTAGTTTTAACTAAAAAATACCGGCGCGATATATGAAACAGAACATTCCACCAAATTATCCCTGTGTCGATGAGATGTTTGCAGTAGCTGCAAACTCAACAAAAACTTATGCAATTGGAGTTAACAGAGATAAATTGGGTGGGTATATATAGAGGGGGATGGGGGTAGTGTGCTTGCAGAAACGAATAATTTTCTGGAAATCATGGAGAAAGAAGTAGTTTATATGGTGTGGGAGATATACACCTAAGGGGGTGATGTTCCCGGGGGAATTTACAGTTGCTCTCAGTAGGGGAAGGGGTTGAAATGGAGAAGAGGAATAGTCGATGATCTGAAAGGGTGAGAAAATAGCAGATATAGATGAGAATGCCCGACCATTGCCATCTTTGAAGGCAGGAGGAAATTGTCCAATTGGGTGGGGGAGTTGTTAGGTATTTTCTTCTGAGGGAAAGAGGCCAAGGTAATTGAATTGTTGATTGAAATTGAACAAGAGGCAAAGGGGCTAAGATGGGTTAACAGAAAGATGGAGAGGGATAGAAGGGTGGTTACCAAAGGACAGGGGGATAATAGCGTTGTATGAGATGAGATTTGGAGGTAAGGGGAGGGTGGGATGGAGGAGGAAGATAGAGTGTCATCATCTAGGCCCAACTGCCAAGATATTGTCCACTTTGACTCGACCCCTCTAGGCAACTGGAAGGCTTTTAGGCCTCACGGTTTGTCCCCTTTAGAAAACAACCCAAAAGGCGCCCCAATGGTTGAATCCTGAACTCGCCCTTATATGACCCCTAACTTTCCCCTCCCATTCTAATGTGAATATTGCTTAAGGCAAGCTTCACAACGAACCTGCTTTGAAGTTCAACAGCCGGTCCGTGAGCTATAACACTCCATTAAGGGATTCAACATCCTAGTTGCGGTTTGCTCCACCCCCGTACTAGGGAGGTACCGACTCTGATACCACCTATCAAAGTCTCAGGCGCAACTACCAAGGTATTGTTTGCTTTGGCATAAAACCTCAGTGCCACCTCAAGGCTTTTGGGCCTCATGATTTGCCTCCCTTGTGCTTTAACCCAAACGACGCCTCACCAGTTGAATCCTAACTTGACCTCATATGGCCCTTAACTTTCCCATCTCGTTCAGAAGTGAGATTCGCCTAAGACAAGCTTCACAGCGAACTCCATTTCAAGTTCAATCGCCAGCGGTGAGTGGAGTGTTACATAGAGGTAAAGAAAAATATCGATCCATGGATGTTAAGATCATATCTCGGAGATGAATAATTCAAACAAAAAGGTCAATCATTAAGGTGGGAGTATGAGAACGGAGGCAAACTTATTGTGCTTTCGGAGACGAAGTGTAGTTGTGGCGAACACATTGGCAGAAAGTACATGGGATGGAAGGTGGGTTAAGCATAACACTGCCCGGCTAATGAGAGTGCGGGAGGCATAATACTCTTATTGAATGTGGAGAAGTTAGAGGTGGTGGAAGTAAGCAAAGAAGAGCTTATACTAGTTGCCCTACATCCGGGAGTAGGCTAGAGTGGAATTTTGGGAGAGTTTGGGCCGGTAAGGGAGGGTTCTAAGGAGAGACTTTGAAATGAGTTATCGATCACTTTGGCAGGATGAGAGGCACTCTAAGTGTTGGTGACAAGACTTTAATACTATTAGGTTTTCGAAGGAAACGATAGATTGCAGAACAATGTACGAACAATTAAAAGGTTCTCGGAATTCATCAATAACCACCATTTATTTGTCTTCATTTGACAGGGGCCAAGTTTACATGAATAAGATAAGAGGAGTCAGCATACAAGTCAAGGTTTGACAAATTCTTGGTGTCGACCACATAAAAGAATGGCCGAATTTGTTGCAAGTTCCATTGCCTAAGTTGATCGTGGACCACTTATCCATCATGTTGGATGAAAGCGGAAGAAAAGACAAAAAAACCCATTTCAGATTTGAGAAACGACTAAAAGTGGCAAACTTTGAAGATAGAGTAGCGGACTGGTCGAGCTATAGGACCTCATTCTCACTAGCAAAGAAGCTCAAACTGCTGAAAGGGAACATAAGGTTGTCGAATATGGAGCTTTTTGGAAGGGTAGAAGTGAAGATAAGGAAATCATGAATGACATTTGGGTACACTGAGAGAGCGAAAGATTTGAGGGGGCTAGAGGGACGAGGAAAAAAAGGAGAAGAAAAGGAGATCAAGGAGGAGGAAAGGAAATGTCCAATAAGAGCACATTATTCAGTATGCCCACATACTAGATGCCAATAATCCAAGCACCGACTAATGATTCTGGAAAACTTGAGACTCTAGAGGAATTTTCTATAGAATGCAGTAGTTAGGACCAAGAGGCACCATCTAGTCAACCAGGAGATCGTTACTTCCCGAAAAAGTAAGGAGGACTTGGGGTAAGGGGATCTTAGAGTGTTCTGATAAGGGGGGTCTTAGAGTCTTCAACAAGACTTGTTGGAAAAATGATTGTGAAGATTTGAAACTGAGGAGAACACCTAATTGAGGGAGGTGATAGCTTGAAGTATGGAATTGTGGACAGGGGTGGAGGACTAGAAATATCACTTTTGTCATTTGAATGTAGCTTATGGAGGAGCATCATGAAGGAGCGGGAGGATTTCAGCTGCAATATTGCATCAGGGTAATAAAAGAATTAGTTAATTGGTGGTTTGGAGATAATGCCTTAAGATTCACCTTCCCTAAGATTATAGATTATCAATCCAGAGAGAATACATTACAACAATTTCAGGGAACATAAGAAGGGGAAGTTTTCTATATCTTGAAATTAGGAGGAATTTGCAAGATTAGAAGATGACAATATACCAAAGCCTATTAGAGATTCTTTACAAAAGAGTTTATCTAAAATAGTTAGGACTCCTGGATGGAACGAGGAGAGGCGGGGAAGAAGAGATGATTCTTCTTGGTTAAGTCTTATTATCATATGCTTCTCACAAGGGAAGAATTGGTCTTTCCACAATGGTTGGATATCTAGAGCACCAAGAAATGGTATTTCTTTGCTTGGGTGGCAGGTTGGCAGCAAGGGAAGCAATTTTGGCAGCCTAATGTGTATTTCTTTGCTTGCGTGGAAGCAAGGGAAGCAAATGTAACAGTCAAGACCATGAGAAAGAAGAGGTTTACTTATATTAGCTGGTGTACAACAACAACATACCCATTGTAATCCCAAAGGGAGGTTTGGGGAAGGTAGTGTGTACGCAGACCTTACCCCTACCTTGTGTGAGGTAGAGAGATAGTTTCCGATAGACCCTCGGCTGAAAGGAAAAAAACAAAGCAAGTTTGAAAAAATTGAAAATACTGCAGTTATATTAGCTGGTATTTCATGTGCAATTGCTCACGTGAAGCTGTTAACCACCTATTGTTACATTACAAGGTGGCCACGCGATTTGTGATTAGTGTTGAATTGGTTTAGAACACGATGGATGATACCTGGCATGGAGTACCACGAACGCGAACGATACCGAACAAAGTGAAAAAGCCTATACAGCTAAACTTTTGAGGTTTGGAGAAGGAAGAGAAGATGCAAGGTATGTGCTTCTATACTAGCTCTAATATGAGTCCTATAGTAGGACATGAAGAGAACTTTCACAGTTTATATACAGATTTTTTACATATGAGCAATAGCTTATGGTTTCTAGTTTTTTTTTAATGTACATTCGTGAAGTCTTAATTTGTATCGGAGATTGGGTGTCCTGTGTGGAAAGTCATATTTTATTATAGGTTCTCTACTTTTGGTATACTAGCATGGGGAAATTCCCCCATTAATAAATTTACTTACTTTATCAAAAAAGAACCTCACAATCCGAATTTGATTAACTAATGAACCTTTTGTCTGGACTTTAAGCTCAAACTAACCAAGGCATAGTTGACAGCCAAATCTTTTATTCACTAGTGGTTGTATAAGATGTTAGGCTCACTAATTGCGGGTGCGGGGTCCATTCGTCCTCTCTAATCTTGGCGAAATTGGGCATGCCTCATCATGAGTTGCGATAAAGCAACATCATCTCTAAGGGGTGGCCTAGTATTAAACTAAGTTGCTCGGACACGGATGCGGGTGGCTGACACGGGTGCGGATCTAGAGGTCGGATCCTTCGAATTGTAAATTCTAAGATTCGGGGATATGGGTCCTAGTATGGATATGGGTGCGGGGATCCGGCTAAAAATAATTCAAAACAATATATAAAAATATCTCTAAATTTTGTGAAATACTTACGTATAGCTAGTAAAGTGTGAATTTCTTTTTTATTTTCAAGTTGTAAATAAGTAAAGGATTGATTTCTTAGATAAGGTATGCTATTTTCTTCAAATTTACCTTAGTTTTGGTTCTGATTTCCGAAATCAAATTGTTTTGTCTCGAATTTTTCCTTCCGCCGTGGTCAAAGTACCCAAAATTATTTGACCAGATTCAGTACGGATCCCACCCACATCTATACGAGTGTCATGTCGACACAGGTGCAGCACCTAAACTGCCATGTCGGAGCAACTTAGGTATTAAGATATGAGAGTAACAACCTGGAGATTCCATATTCAAATCCCAACTACAACACTAGGGACCCGTTTGGCGATAGATTTTGCCAAATATTTGCCAAATTTTTTTTGGCAAATACATGTTTGTTCATAAATTTTATGCATATTTTGGCAAATTCCCAAATCCCAAAACCAGCTCATTACTATTACACTTTTTAAAAATTGCCCCAAACTTTTGTATTTTATAAAAGAGCCACTATTTATTATTTTGTAACAATGTTGCTTCGCCTTCTCAGTCATCTGATCGTATATTATGTAGTTCATTATAAAAATGATAATTTTGTACCAAATGTATTTATGTTCAGGACTATGGTTTGTGATAGTGATAATGAATGTTATTGATGAATGTATTGTTGGGTATTTGTAATAGTTTTTAGAACTTGTGGGTATAAGTGATGTTTCATGTTTTTTTTTTTTAAAAGTGAAATATGTTTTGAAAACTGATGTCCAAACACATTTTCATCTTCAAACCAAACTTCACCCAAATCAGATTTTTCAAAATAAATTTGGGAATCTATGGCCAAACGCTAGCTAGATATGAGTTCATCTGCTCTATGCTTGGTGAGCAGGATTACCTTGACAACATGTGCTCGTGTGCTATACAGGTTGCTAGGTGGATTAGTCGAGGTGCGAGCAAGCCGACATCAAAAAAATTAAATAGAAATAAAAATTAAAGAATGCAGCTGCACATTGAAAGCTTTATAACATTTTCACTTGCACCTATACTTTACATCCTCTTTCTCATAAATAACTTGAAGAATTTTATTTCATGCATAATATATTGAGACAATGTCAAATTTATAAAAAGTGGTGGTGTATACTGTATAGCCAGCCTAGATTTTGCCTATTTATCTAAACAAGTCCTCTCTTAATACCAACAATGCAAGCAAATAGAAAAAAGGGTCTTTTAATATGTCCTAAAAAATCCACATGTTTTTGGTATAGTTCCTGATTATGGGACTTCAGCAACCTACTGATACGCTATCCTATTTTGTTCGATGTACATTCAAGTATCAACCAACTCTGAGGAGTGGGCCCTGTTACTTGCACACAAAAAAATTCAAACTCTACAGTTTCAGATTATTATATAGCTATTTTGAAAATATATTAATATGATACCTTTACCCGCTTTTCATTATCACCAAACTATCATTAGTACATCCGATATACTCAGACATGGCAACCCATTCAAACTTTGTTCTCTTCGTCACTGCGCTATTTAACTGAATTAGGATGGAAAGAGAAACACGTTGCAGTAAAGTCCTAACAAAGAGCTGCAACGTCGGCTTTCCAGCAATTAGATTAGAAAAAAACAGACCCTGAGGCATCTACTCATCTCCAGATCTGATTATCTTCTACAGAATGCGATACCGCATTCGACTAAAGACCAAGTAGTTCAAACATAAGTATTAATCAAATAGTACAAAATATATCATACCATTCAAGAATACATTGAAGATGAAACTCATGCTTGCAACCAGTCACCTACACATAAAAAGATTCGATTATTTGGAATGAAGTCCATCTCAGTGCATTCCACAGTGACAAGGGACAGTACGAAACAAAACGTACCGTTGAGGGATCACTTTCACAAAATTCTTCAAGGCATATGCTGCAAGTATCTTCACAAGCATCCTGAATACCGCCCTCCACAAATGCTGCCGCTGAAGTCAAATGATTCTCAGACATCTTGCCCTCCTCCATCTGCCAAAACATAAAACCTCACTGAAACTCCACTTCATCATTATACAAAGTAATAGAAAGTAAACAGTCACATGACCCCACCCCACCCCCCTCCCAAACCCCTTTTTTCGATAAATAGTAAAAGAACACTTCTGACCTCTAAATTCATATTCAAAGCTAAAAACACATAAAAAGTCCAAACAGCAGAGTATATCACATTATTTTGGCGTGGCAACTGGAAACCATTGTCGTTGGCATAGAAAGGGGGAAAACAATAGAAGAAAAAGCTCAAATATATGATGAATTCATTGTGAGTGAGATACAATTGAATTGATCAGTACACTTCCTACAGCAGCTCAGACAATAAGGGGATCCATACTTAAACGCCAATACTTATATTGAGATACACAAACTACAGCTAAACGCCAATATTTGTATTGAGATACACAAACTACAGCATAAAACGCCAATACTTCTATTGAGATACACAAACTACCGCATAAACATTCCAAACCCTCCACACTACACAACGATCCATATCAATATTAACAACATCTGAAAGAAACCAAATGTAAAAATCAAATCTTTTTCACAAAATGTTATCCATTTTACCAAAAGCCAGTGTAGAAGTACACAAACTACAGCATAAGGATTCCAAACCCTCCATATTCCACAACAATCTAAATCAATGTCTACAAAATCTGAAAAATAAGAGATATAAAAATCAAATCTTTTTCACAAAAATCTTACCCATTTTACCAAGAACCAGTTTACACCTAAACAAGTGCAACCCCACATCAGATATCAACACTATAACACTCATGAAGCTTAAAAATTAAAGAGAAGAAAGTCAAGAGAGCAAATACCCAGTTCCCCAAATAGCAATATAAGCTCAATTTCAAACACTCAATTTCCCAAACCAATCAAAGTCACATACTTTACCTCAAAAACGTCAACTAATTGGGCAGATCAAAGCTGCAAAGAAGGAAGATTTGATTAGAACAACTTTGTGGGATTTGAGAGGTGATGAAAAAGAGTGAAATTTCGGTGAGAATACAATGAAAGGAGAGGATAGAAGTTTAAAGAGGGCAACGAAGAATTTGGACTTGCCTTTTGTTGGTTTCTTCTTTGTTTTTCTAAGTTTTTTTCTTTTATTCTTTTATACCTTTTTGGCGGTGATGAGATGACTAAGCCCACATTAACACTAGCTCGGTCTTCCATGCCATTCACTTTCTACACGTGCCATAAATTTTGATTTTTTTCTCTTTTTAATCATTGGATAATTCTTTGAAGTGATTTTCGCAACAAAAAAAAAAAAGAAATCACAACAATTTGTTCTAAAAGTAATTAAGCAGAAGATCTCAAAATTTTTATTAAAAAAAAAAGGCAAATTAGGCAAACAGTAATCTTTTTTTATTAATATAAATATGTTAAAATAATTGCTAGAATAATTAAAATAAGAAAAAGTGGAATTATCTTTAAATATTAAGAATAAGAAAAAATAAATCTTATTTTTACGGAGATTAATTTCATTGAGATGTGATTTTCTACCCGTTCGTAAATAAAGGAATTTCATAGTCACTTTCTCAGAACTTATATATAAAAAAGAAAAAATTAATCAAAATAGCTGTCACACAACCTGCTTAAATTAAAAATTATCAGCGGATGCATATATATATATATATATATTAGTGTATAATTTGTATATGCAGGCTAAAAAGTAAACAATGAATTCGGCGGATAAATTTCATCGATGATCATTCAAGTTAAGTTTTTTGACACAAAGGTTATTCTTTCTGTTTTTGTAACATAAAAATCATCTTTCTAAAGCTAATAGAAATGTAAAAGCGGCTGGAAGATGCTATTTTGAGCCCGAAGGCGACGTGACTATCTTAATTTGCTTAATAAAAAGGTTAATTTCATAGACCTTCCTCCATGTTTCGTCTCATAACGCTAACTTCTCTTATAATTAATAATATTATGCTTACCTCAATTATTTTAATTTTTTTGTAATATTTATCCTAACTTGTTAACAAAATATAATTTAATTAGTTTACTCTTATTAGTATACTCTTTTGTTAAATTGATTTTATTATCATTTTTAAATTCCTTTAAAATAAGTATAACCATAAATTGAAAAGCAACGAAATCAAGAATTGAACATGGAGAATAAGCGGACAGAAAACAAGATAAAAATCTAGAAGAAAAATACGAATCATAACAGCATAAAACAAGTGAAAAAGAAAAAAAAATCCAATATCTGAACTATATGAGTTAACATTAATCGTGCCTAAATTTTTAGACGTGAAGAATTAAGGAATGTCAAACAAGCCCTTTAGGAGAATTCAAGATTCACCGAACAATCATGATTTAAATGTTGACTATAATGACGATCATGATCAATATTCTTCTTCTAATAATACTTAATCACATTACCACTTTAATTCCAAACTAAAAATTCCATGGAGAGGAATTCATGAATGAAGTTGTAAGTTTAGAAGATAACTCTAATAATGTTCATGAACTAGATATAGACACTTCAGATATGCCAGCTACGTTGATCGAGAAAGAGTTATTGTGGAATGTGATTATGAAGAAATTCGTTTAATAAAAACATGTTAATAAAATTAATTAAACAAAGTATATATTAGTAAGGGGTTCAAGTTAGGAGTTTTAACGAATAGATTAAGACAATATTTACAAAAAATAAAAAGAAAAATAGGTGAGGTAAGCATAATATCATAAACCAGAAGAGAAGTTAGTGTTACGAGGCGATACACAAAGGGAGGTATGTGAAATTAACCCTTTTTATTAAGCGAATTAAGATAGTCATGTCACTTTTCCGGCAAAAAATGACATCTTTTGGCCATTTTTATATTTGTGTTAACTTGGTTTTAGAAAGATGATTTTTATATTACAAAGAAAAGAAAAAGAACTTTTGTGTTACAAAGTTTACTTGAATGACTCATTAAAATTTAGGGAAACTACCAGATTTATAAGTAGCTTATTACAAATTTTGCCAATTCATAAAATATTATCAATATTAGCCAATTAGCTATTTATAGCAAAAAAAGGTCAAAAATTTGCTTTCTATTGAGTAGGTGTTATTAGAATAGATTGGGTACATCTTAAGGGGTTTGAATCTCAGTTTTGGGATGATTTGGTGAATTTTGAGGTGGTTTGAATTGAAAATTAGAAGTAGAAGATGAACATGAAAAAAATGATACATATATCACACCGTGTATTATTTGTATATCATATTTATATCAGTTGTGTATCACATGTATATCCATGTATACCTATGTGTGAGATACATGTTTGATACATGTATTAAGAAGAATATTTTTGAACTCGATTTTAATTACGAATTTTGATATCAAATAAGTCCAAATCACCTCCAATCTTTCTCAAATTTTGTATATTGACTCATCTATATGTTTTCAATGAATTTCAACCATACCCATTGAACCATATATTTATTTGTATTTCATCACCTTATTTGTTACCTTATCCATGGAATTTTCTTCCCTTCTTGCATTTAATGTTGCTAATCACGCTTCAAAATATGAAAGGAGATCTTTAAGCGTGATTCTTGGAGAGAAAGAACCTTATTTATTTGGGTTTTCAATTTTTATATGTGCTTGGTTAGTTTTGGTAAGTTTATGATTAATGACTAAAAGTCGATAAGTTGAAACTTATTTGGGACATTTCTGTAAGATTCCCTGTAATTTATCCCGAATTCGGCTGGCTATTTGAGTACAAATCCCAAAAGGCTTAACGGTAGTTACGGTGGTCTCACTCAGGGGCCTACATTGTTATATGGGCCAAGGTTTTCTCACTAAATTAAGGGATCTTTATACAAATAGTCGGTTATATTAATTGTTTATTTTTTTAGCTATATACATAATTTATATATATATATA